GGGGAGGGGGGGGAGCCCCGGTGTGGCGCCGTCTGAGTGCACTGTCCCGCGTGGGGTGACACAGGCGCTGACTTCAGAGTCGCCCTGACGTTGGCGCTCCCCGCGGCCCCGCGGGCTCCGGGAGCTGGGCTCTGAGATACCTGGGCCTCTTCTCCGCCCGTCTCACTTCCCTGCCCTCGAGCCTGGTGCAGCCAGCGCTGCACAAGGTCGTCCTTCAGAGCCGAAGCCCGGGCCGGGAGACCCAGTGGGCTGTCTGTAGCCTCAGGAGCCCGGTCTTGACCAGAAGCACCGCTTCAGGGGTGGCTCCTGTCCTGTGTCCCGAGTGACGTCTCACTGGCCCAACTGCAGGTCCAAGAGCGAGATGTCCCACATCCTGGTGCAGAGCCACGGGTGCCTCCCTGAGAGCGGCCACAACGCCGTCCCGTTCAGCTGGAGGATCCGGGACTACGTGGAGGAGCTGTGGGTGCAGGCCCAGTACATCTCCGAAGCCACAGGTGTGCCCGGGGACCCTGGAGGGGCAGTTGGGGCAGCAGGAGAGCCCGTTCTGAGGCTCCTGGACAGCGGGGGCCCTGGGCTCAGGAGGGGTCTGCTGGCGGTGAGAGCACAGGGCCTTCGTCCAGGCCGCCTGTCCGCCTCCCTCCGAGCCCGCCGCGCCTCGCAGTGCTGTCACATGCCAAGGGACCTGGCCGTCGGCGTTCCAGGGAAACCAGTATGCGCAGGCGCCTTGGGAAAAGCCACCTTTCACAATGAAATAACCTCTTCAAAGTGGACTTACAAGTGCTGCCTTTCAGAAATACAGGCCGAGATACTTGAAGATGAGCTTGTTTTTCTAAGTAATCGTCCTGTCTCAGGTCCTCTTACCCCTTTGGGGCTCGTGAGGCTGTTTGTGACCAAAATGTTTGTAACATGATTCTGCCTTCGTGTCCGTCATTCCTCTGAAAAATATCGAAGGCGTCTAGAAACGGTCCTAGAATCAGGCTCCCGCTGCCCCCTGGGCCGTGGAGCGGGCCCTGACCCGCCGGGCCTGTCCGCAGAGCAGCAGGGCCCGCGGAGGCCC